TTCAGTTAATATCAGGATAAAGCCAATTATCACTGTTGAAGTCCAAGAGATCAACCTGGATTTACATTGAAGAAACAAAGCAGAATTTGACCAAAGAGGCAGCATAACTCAATTACCAAAGAAGTGGTCTCATAACATTGTCTCACAGGCAAAGATACACAAACATTCAAATGGCAGCTATTATTTTCCTCCTTTTGACTCTAAATGGTGATCGTCTTTGAGCTGCCATTTGCACTTTTACGTCTACATCATCCCTGAGATAAAAGAACTTGTTCGATTACTGTAAAAAAAAAGTTACATTAAACTAAAAGCTAAGTTGAGTTGAAACACTTAGAAAAATGCAACATAAAACATGAAGTGAGAATGAGCAAATTAAACAATGCTAAATGCTGAAAGGAGGCTGTGGTGTTAAATAATAACCACACAGCTGTGACCATAGAAGCAGGGGACTCCCACAGACGACTACAGGGAATCAGGTGGCAACAGGAAGCGTAACTGCAGAAAAGGTCTCTCTTCTCATCTTGAGGTCTCAGAGACATCCCACCCATCAACAGAGCTAGACTTCTAGGTATTTCGCTCACTAACAAACAGCATGTTGAACTGGAAATGATACATCAAAGCCTTATCATGCAAACACTATCTGCAGGCGTGGCATTGCACTCCCCAGGTAACCTACCTTTGATGGTGAGGCTGAACAGACAGTGTCACACCACATTCTGGAGTTGGTCCCAGCAAAACAGCCAACTTGGGATCACCTCACCACACTGAATTCACTGAGTTGGATGTGACTGATTCCAGCCATGGATCGCAGGAGTCTCAGCAGTATAAATTATTAAAATGTTTCTGCACATAATTAAGAAGTGAAATGCTGTGACAGTGTTTTCCCCTTGGTCACAGACAACAGGTCTGAACATTTTACCACCACATGTGACCATTACACTACCTAAGCTGACCTTCTACACAGCACAGAGCATAGCATTGAGTTAAATGACTTGTGCTTGGCAGAAGACTGCCTTCAGAACGTGGCTGCGCCAGTCTTGATTTGAAAGTCTGAAGTATTCACTTGCCTTAATGTGTAATCATTTCCATTGCTAATAAAAATGCATGCCTTTGTCTCTTAATTTTTACCTTGTTTGGCTTGCACCTCCCTCCCTTGGGTTTTAGGAGACTTCTTCTGCTAGCTTGATCAGCCTTTTAAGGCCTGGTATTAAATATAAATAATCTACACTCTTCTTGCTCTTCTTGGTAAGGCAAGGAGATGGAAGCCCCTCCATCTCCATTTCTCCATTTTCTCCAGATCACCAGTTATTTTATTCTCTGGAAAAATTTTCAACAACCTTTTAGAAGAAGTTGTTTCCATGTTATTTATCACTCTCTGCAATGCTGTGATAAAACCCATAAAATCAGCTCACTATATCTGTGCATATCCAAAGATCACACTAGTCCTTTTCAGGCTGGGTTTCCTAAAGAGCCTGAAAATTACATAGTTATGTGGTATGCATGAGTGTGCCTTATCTTGGACACCTCATCCAACTATAATATCACAAGTGCTATAAGTTTCAGATGTGTTCCCATATGCCTTATGAGAACAGCAGAGCAGAAGAGAGACCTGTCCTTATGGAGAGGCTGCAACATGGACTTACTGCTTGATGGACTGTAAGAGCCACAGCAGACAGGCTCCATCATCATTGCTCACTGAACCATCAACACTAGAAGATCCTGTTGTGTTGCCTGCCCACTTAAATCATCTGCTGAGTCTGCTTTCTAGGATACTGTTCAAAATTTTGCTAGTGGTACACATGCAGAACTGTCCTGATGAAATATGTTGTGTCAGGACTCTGAGAAGAGAATAAGGATCTTCAAGATGCCAAGTAACAATGCAAGGTTAATATTATAAACATATTTACACTTGCATAAGAAAAAAGCAACCACAGAAAAGACTCAGTTTGTGATGTAACACAAGGTGCCACAGAAAGACATTTTGCAAGTTTCTTCATTTTTTCTCCCACCATTTCTCTTGCAATTGTGAAGATTCAACTATTTCTAAGATCTTGCTAGAAAAAAACGTGTAAATGGCTAAGTGGTTGTTCAGATAGTACACTAAATTCGAATAGCATTTGTCTTTCACATAAAAGGAGAGGTGGAATTTCAGAGAATCCCATAGCAGGAGGATACAAAATCACTACAAACAGCAGACTGTAAGTCTAGCCCAATGGCCATCAGATTCCGCAGTAGCAGCATCTCTTCAGTTCTGCACGCTATTGCCACAGTAGAAATTTTGTGACATGGAGATATCTACTCTTTAGCATGGCAACAAAAGCCAACAAC